TAAAAAGAATATCGTTTACAAAATCTCATGATGAATCCTATGACTGTGATGAATCCTATGTAGGTCAAACATGCAGATAATTAAAAACTAGAATTTCGAAACATAAGAACCATATCTGTAGATGCACATCTGTACAATCAGTTATAACCGAACATAGATTGCATTATGGTCATGAATTTAATTGAGATGAAGTTGAAATCTTAGACACTGAATGCAATTATAACAAGAGATTAATGTCAGAGTCGTCAGAGATGATTTACATTAAAAGAGAGAAGAATGAAATTAATCTTCAAACAGATACAGAATTTTTAGATAAAACATACATGTCTCTCCTTAATAATTCGTAATACATTATAGCATACATTTACATACCTTTTACACGCGGATAATACATAATCGACTATTATTTACAACAATCTATTTTGTACATTTCGCCAACTTTATTAGATTATCAATCTATATTTTACACGATCCGCTTCAACGTCGATTACACGCGTTTTCCAAGACGACGTCGCCGCAAAGGTGGGATTTTCTCTCCTTTCTCGTTGAAAATCCGCTCGGTCGCGCATGAATTCTTACCCACCGCTTTACTTCACTTAATGCGGCGGAATGCACTTGAATGCCGGTGCTAAACCGACTCTTTTCAAGGCTCGTTACGTAAGGCGGCCCTTCCGCCGCGCCGCGTCGCTGTCGCGTAGAAATTCGTCGAAGTTTCGGCGCTCGAGACGCCTAATGACCGTGGCTCATCGACCTAGACGCATACGCAAGGTCATGCGGCCACTGCTCCATTGGTATTATAACCTCAACCTTCTCTCTCTCTCTCTCTCTCTCTCTCTCTCTGCCGCAGCCTCTCCCCGACGCCGCCCTCCGCGCCGCGACGGCGGCACCCTTCCTTCCGTCCTCCTGCTCGCCTTCTGTTGCCTCCGCTCGCGTCCTGTGTTTGCGAGCCCTAACTGCCTACCTTCTCTCTCTTTCTCTCCCCCCCCTCCCCTCTCGCCTCCTTCCCCTTTTTTCTTTTTTTTATCAACCGACATCAATGCGTTGCGTTCGACTATGTTGCGCTCTCGCCACGTATTACGACGTATGTCGAACAATCCCGTAATATTTTTTTCGTTTCCAGAATACATTCGATACGCTGGAAGAACGGTTTTGTTGAAGTTTTAGGAAAATTTAGGTGAATACAGATTTGAAAATTATTTTGTTGGAACAACTGTCAAAATAATTGTGTACAACACTCAACCCAGTTCCGAGAATGTCAAAACTTTTTGCAGCGTTGCTCATCGTACTTAAGTTTCCTGCATAGTTATTTTAATGTTCCAACAGAATAATTTTCAGATTTGCATCTTTCAAGGAATTATTTATTAATTATGTATTAATTATGTATTAATTCACTCAGGTATGATAATTGATGGGTATAAAAAATATTTATATACCGAATGGACGAACTAAACGATTTTGATCGTATCAAGAATTCTGTTACCTCAACTAGAATCATAATAGATTCAATTAGAAAAAAAAGTCTAATTTGTCTATTTTTAGCAATTTCAGCCGGAATTCCTATTAATGCAAGAAGATGCTCTTTTTCCTTGTACATTTAACGAATTTATGAGGCTAATATTCTGGATACCCACGCGAGTAATGACAGACATTTGAATAGTTTTATTTGCTGGCGCAATACGACGGTAATGATCTTCCGTTTATTTCTAAATTCGACAAACGCTCCAACGCGGACGGCATTACCTTTACGTACGAGAGATACTGCCTACATAACCGAGGTTGGAATGCGTTTGCGAGCCTCGTGACGAGTAAGCGAGTACGGGGAATGCAGCCGATTATGCAACTAGTTGCACTGCTAGGTTCTTGTGTGACAGAGGGACGTTGCCTGCAGGCCTGCAGGTCTGCATCGCGTCGCTGCACTTTCGCGGGTGGCCGAGCTCTTTTTCTTCTCCTCGCCTAATCGTCACTTAATCTTTCCGTTAGATCGCCGTCTAACGCAACGGCGGGCCATTAGGTAATCGGGACGGCGTCGGTGTCGCGTTAATTCTTTGCGGTCTATTATTCGCTCGCGCGAAACTCAAACTAGAGCGAAACGGAACGAATTCTTGAAATTAATCTCTAAATGGAATTTGCTGTCCGAATTCAGAAAAGGAAAAAATAATTTGAAAAAGGAGCGAAAAACTTGGAAACTTGAAAAAGGTCGATACAATAATAAGGAAAGAATTGGTAGTTTGTTAAATAACAAGACGTTTATTAAATGTCAAGGAGATTAGTTATTTGTATTTATAAGGAAGAAATAATTCAAGCAAGAAATAAGACAAATGGGATTTAAAATCAATTAATAAAATAATTAATTAAGCAAGATTAAATGTGTAACATTAAAACTCGAACTGTTTTATAAGAAATTAAATAAAAAATTTATCTCGCACGGAATGCAAGAGATCCGGGTTCGACTCCCGGCCGAGGCAATATTTTTTCGCAATAAGTTTATTACAGTTTTTTAAGATTAATTTGGGGAATTTTGGGGGGATTATTACATTTCAGATTAATTGCGTTAATGTCGACAACCATATCGACACGTAATTATTATTTCTGAAATTAATTCATTCGTTTGAATAATATATATATTAGTTCAACATCTTAATACTTAGACCGTAGTGGCGCTTCGGATTGTAATGTTATTTAAATAAAAAATTGTTTTGAATTTGAGGATGTGTCAGGTCTCAGCAAAAATGACTAGACTTAACTGAACATTTATACTTTTTGTGTAAAAGTAAATGTTGTATATGTAATAAAACAGTTTAAATGAAAGTTTCCTTATTTCGTTTTAATTATTTTATTATTAAAAAAAACTGTCTACTTTTCATTGAAATAATGTTTGATCCAAGTTTCTAAATTGTTTCCAAACCTCCCTCATTAAATTTCAAATACAAAAGGAAAAAAATCTTTAACTTCTCTTCACGTTATTAAATATAAAAAATAAGTGTAAACATTAAAGTGTCCAGTCTGTAAAAGAAGAAAACATTATTCCTACATAGATTTTAAACACCTGATTTTGCAGTTTATCAGAGATAAACGAGACGCCTCGACATGAACTAATGAGCAAAAAGACCATGCGTTCGGCATACGTTTGCATACATATTATCGATCTGCGCGTTTAAATGCGATAACGCGAAACCGGCACGTGAATCTCCGGCGAGAGTCGTCGTCTGAGTGATGTAACCAGTTTCTAGGCTTTCGTGTCATCCGTTGTCGGCTGTCATGGGAAAATACAGCGCGACATACACATTCCCCAGCTGGGAAGTACGTAATGTCGTAGCTGTCGGTGAATCACGCCGATTTCACGCCGGTCTGTAATGTATCGCCTTTATGCCTGTCACTTGCGAGTACGGGATGCCGAGTACGGTCTTAATCGATAACCCCTCCGTCGTACCTGTCGTTGGGAACACACGTTGTATCTCGTCGTCGCTTTATGATCCTCCCGATCGAATCGTCCGCCTTTATCCTGTTTATCGTCCCTTCTAACGGGAAACAGCCGCCAATCGGAATCGTTCGATCATTCGTATCGGATTAATCTATTATAATGGAAATTTCGATTACCTACGTTTTAATTTCTGGAACGGTAATTTTTTGTACGGTATTTAATTATTATTAGCGTGTATTTGGTATTTATACACGATATATTGATTTTTATTAATGTATGTTACGTATTTACTGTTTTATTAAGTTTATTTGGACTATACAATTTCGTGTTTTAATTGCACGACTGAGTGAAAAAAATAATTGCAATTATCATAATTTAGATGTAATTTATAGTCTATAAATTATATCCATTTTTAGTGTCAAGTACATATTTTTATGGTAAAATAAATATAATTATTACTAACGTTACAGCAGTAATAACTATAAAAGTGAAGATCTTGACCATAATTTTTTACCATGCCATTATAATCACAAATACTTTTCTCTCAGTACACTTATACACGTTTCAAGTTAAAAAGACTAGAGAAACACTTCTTAAAAATTGACATTTTTGGAATTATTTATTCAAATATTTATTCCATAACACAGTATCTTTTAACAATAGTTCTTGAAATATAATTACAATTATTGTTAAAAATACTTTGTTATGAACATTTAATGCATCGAGTTAAAAGAAAAAAATCATAATTTATCATTTTTAACTCTATGTATATGTCAAAATCGTTGCAATTCTACGATCTCAAAATAAACAAACGTTTCTTTCATGCTAATTTAGCAGTAAAAAATGAAGATATTTATTCTCAATATTGGAATGAAAAAATTTGAAATATTTCCATTTTTTATTTCATTAAAAAAATTATATAATATACATAATTTGTATATTATATAATATGTTAATCATTTTATATGTTATTTATATATTATACAATAATGTGTATTAATAATTGTATTACAAAATCGATTTTATTTATTAGACTAAACAACGATTCATAACGTATCATTAACGTATGCATTTAGCAAACGATAAACAATGACTCGAATCAAATTTAAAACATTTCAAATACGATAAAGAACGCTAAGAACGGTCAATGTTTTTAATATTAATTAATACATTATATATACATTCTTTTTATTAAATCAATTTATTCCACATTGCGAGCCGATAACGTTCGGTTTCAACACAATCATTCTGAATCTTTAATAACCCTAAATTAAATTAAAAAGAAAGAAGAAAAGTAAGAAATTTGTATATTCGCATATACGGTGTCGTGTTTAAAATATATTAACATATTAATACATTTCTTTAAGTTGTTTACTGTGGTTTTATTTAAATTAGTGACGTAAATAAGAACAATGGCGAATAGAAATGATTGAAAGTAATTCAAATTACAAATTTGACAACGTAATCAGAAAAATATCAAAGTTAAAAAAAATATTTTTAACTTTTTAGCCTGGAGCTAATAAAATAAGTCGCGTGCTTTATTGACTATAACTTTAAATACATTTTTCTGTGTTTACAGGTGCGGAAGATATATTGCCGTTATGCAGCTCCGGTGAGTCTTTACGATGCATCACGCGCGAATAAATACGCATAGCGTAGCTAAAAGTGCACGTGCACGTCCTTTCGCGCGCGTTTCTGTGTTTAGAAACAACCATCCACTGCGCTCGTGAGTTCAAAAATACCAGAATGAATGCCTCGTCGCTTTAATTAATCAGGCTGGACACGCGGCTGACGCCGAACTGCAATGTTCGCATCCGCTGTAGGCTTCTGGTGCAACAATGTTCATGCGAAACGCAAAAGTCTCTCTCTCTTTCTCTTCCTCTTTTGTTTTTTTTTCTCCCTTCAGCAACGAGAACGTTGTTGTTGCCCTTGAATGAGCGGCGTGCAGTCAATATCTCTTCGAAACGAGCCTATAAGGACGCGACGACGGTCTGAATACCGAAACTCGATTAACTCACCGAAACATCTGCTCTCGCTGGTCGAAAGCAACAAACATCGGAGTATTAATAGTCCTGGTGCAACTTAAGTCGACCTTGATTTTAACTGTGGCGCGCACACGTGCTCTTTGCTGCAACCCTTTCGTTGTTAGCAGGTACCGTATACTCGTTGACTAACAAAGTCGTTAGTGATGAGGCAAATAAGATTTTTTTCACGCTGTTTGTTGTTGGCAATCAACAATTTTTTAGCATTGTTATGAAGTAACTGATAAGCATGATGCAATTATTATAATCGCTGTTATGCGCGGATATATATATATATTAGGTGTTGGAATTAATTCGTAGCGTTTTTTAATGAAAGAATGTTATTTATTTCACATGAGCATTAAAAAATACATTAATGAAAGTACTTCCCATCACTTGTAAAACGCTACGAATTAATTCCAACACCTAATATATATATTGTACTATGAGAGGAAAATACAAACAGCAAGCAGGGAAATCGTGTAAACATTTAAACAACTTCTAATTTCTTTTGTTATTATTATATTATTATTATTGTTAAATTATTAACAATTATGACTAACTCTCTAAATCTGAATCAGTGGATAATCATTAATATCAGTGCCAAGTATGTCACTGGTAATCAGTAAATGAAATGTGAGATCTCTAACGTGTCTAATCTTTATTATGTGATCTAACTAATCTCGTTTCAGTGCGTAAATTCAATAAATATGAAAGATTGGAAGATTGAAATTAACGTCAAAAAAAATATCAGTATTTTAATTATCTAATGTTCAAACATTCTTCCTTTTTTAGCTGAAACTTCACTGATTATCCAAGTATGCCACCGGATAATTAGTGACTATCCACTGATTCAGATTTAGAGAGAAAATAAAAAGACTTTTAATACAATCGGTTTGACTTTCTCTCTTTCTTCCCGCAAACTAATAATATTATTATTCCTCCTGGAAAACATTAATGTATCCAAAAATCCTGGATACTGGAAAAATTGAACGAAAAGCTTATCTATTTCGAGAATATCAATTTCCCAAAATGTCACATCTGACATTTGATGTTAATAACGAAAGAGTCGATTTGCTTTTCGATTCTGCGTCGCGTCAAAGAGAGTACATATACCTACAACTCACCCTACATCTCCACGAAACGTCTCCAAAAATATCCACGAAAAGACGTGTCCCGAAAATGTTGAGAGAGTCGATACCCTAGGAAATCATATCGCCCCCGAATCGAGCGACGACGACGACGAGAGCAGGCGAGGCGCGGCGCGGCGCGGCGCGGCGCGGCGCGGCGCGCCTC